CTAGAAGTCAGAAGGAAGCAGATGAGGAACTGTGTGTTGGAGGTGTATCTGAGTCCCCCGGCCTCCTGGTGTAATGTGGATTATACTCTGCCTCTGCCTCCCAGCTCTGGGTCACCTAACCTGGAGGGGAGGGAAGCCCAACCCCAATGGAACAGGATCAAGTCAGAGAACTTTTGCTCCGTCCCGCTCCTCGACACGCCTCTAATGGGCTGGACGATGCGCCTCATATGACATATCACGGTGCTGCCAGATCTAGCGGCGTATTTAAGGAGGACACCCCCATGTAGCTCCAGCGAAAAACCCGGGGCAGCACAAAAGCAGGGAGCGCTGCGGGATCCTGACCGGCTGGAGCCTCTGCTCTTCGCCCGCTCCCCGGGGGCAGACAGCTGGTTGCATTTCAGTCCAGTGTTGCTGGCCTGACCAGCTGAGCAGGGCTGCAGCAGCGGGACCCTCTCCCCGAGCCTGGTGGCTCCTGGCAGGGCAGCCCGTCCGCTTGCTGCTCCCTCTGCCTGCCAGCCGGGTTCGCTCTGAGCCCGCTCCAGGGGACACGAGCCTGGGCGAGCTGCGAGCTGGGCTCCGGCTGCCCGCGGAGCGATTGGGAGCTGGGGGTCTCCGCCAGCAGGTGAGGAGGGGCTGGTGTTGTGCACGGATCGGGGACGGGGCGAGCAGGGAACTGCTGGGTGTGGGGGGGAAGAGATGGGTGGGTGCATCAATCACACTGGGGAACCCGGGGTCTATTGGGGAGGGGGCTGTGCGCTGATCGGGTGGGGAAGGGGGTTGGGTGGAGGCCAGGGCCAGCTTCTCCAAGCAGCAGTCACTGGTGGGGGCTAGAAATCATCTCTCTGCATCATGCCCCGAGGTGACAGTTAGTCTGTCTGCTCCAATCACTCTTTATCCCGAGTCTGGAACAGTGTTAACAGGAGAGAATAAGGGACCCCCCCACCACCTCCACCATCTCAGACTGTCCCCTAGCTCAGTGGCAAGAGGCTGCTCCCAAGAGGTGGGAGATGCCTGTTCAAATCCCTTCTCCTACCCAGCTACAAGGGGGACTTGAGTTGGGGTCTCCTACTTTCCAGGTCAGTGCCAGAACCCCTGAGCTAAATGTTACCGGGAAGCACTTGCTCCTCTCTGCTAGTTTGTGGGCGCTCGCCTGTGGGGACCAAGCTGGTAGGGGTCCTTTGAACATGCCCACTGGCTTGGGGCCCCAAGGCAAGTCAGGCGGAGGCTGGCTCCTGGATCATACTGGGGCCTAGAGGGAGGGAGCAGCACATGTGCTCGGGGCGCACACAGACACCTCGTAAACTTTTACTCAGAAAATTGAGGCACCGAGCAAGTTCAGGCGCTTCCAGGGTTTGGTGGCAGCTGAGCTGGGGTTTGGTTCTGGGACGGAGGTGCCTGAAGTGGCCATTAGCCTCTTAAGTCCCCTTGTGAATCCAGCCCTACCGTTCATTGGGACAAGTCCTCAGCTCCCTGCAGCGGTCCCATTACCCAGGTCACACGGTGCAGGTTTCCTCTCACCCATCAGACTTCGTTTTTAAAGGAAAGCTGAGATGCAGGAGATCAAGGTGGCGCTTCCAATGAACAAGTACCAGGTCACCCACCCCATGAGATTCAGCCTCGTATGGTCCTTGCTCCAGACCCCCAACTCTGTGGGTCTCAAGCAGGGGTACACGTATCCCTGGGGTACACAGAGCTCTTCCGAGGAGTATGTCAACTCATCTAGATATTGGCCTAGTTTTAGAACGGGCTATATAAAAAGCACTAGCGAAGTCAGTACAAACTAAAATTTCAGACAGACACTGACTTGTTTACACTGTTCTATATGCAATACACTGACATGTAAGTACAATACTTATTTCCAGTGGGTTTATTTTATAATTGAATGGTAAAAATGAGAGTCAGCCATTTTTCAGCAATAGTGACTGTGGCAACATTTGTATTTTCATGTCGGATTTTCAAAGCAAGTCATTTTTAAGCCACGTAAAACTTGGGGTACGCAAGAGAAATCAGACTCCTGAAAGGGGTGCAGTGGTCTGGAAAGGTTGAGAGCCACTGCCCTAACTCACCGCACAGCCTGGGACATCTTCTCGACTGACGCTCCGCGGGAAAGCTAGAGATGAAAGACAACACCAGAGCCCAGCTTCCCAGTACAGGGAGGGGGAGGAAAGACTCACCCCTGGGCCTTTCCTTGTTACAGGGACCCACAGTGACATGGACTCTCTCTCACTCTGCAGCTTCTCAGGCTCTGCAGATGGGAACAGCTGCGGGTGGATAAAAGGCAGCCAGGTTCTGTCTGAGACATGTGCCGCGGAGCTCAAATGGATCTACCAGAAAGAAGCGGCCGTGATATAAACAGTGCAACTGAGGATCCACATTTGTGTATCTGTAATGTGAATTACCCCCCTGTGAAGTCTCCTGGGTAGGGCCCTACCAAATTCACCCATCCAGTTTGGTAAATTTCACGATCATGAGATTTTTAAAAGTCTTTTAAATTTCACAGTTTTAGCTATTTCAATCTGAAATGTCACCCTGTTGTAACTGTGTGGATCCCATCCCAGAAGAGGGTCATGGGGGGTCTCAAGGCTATTGGGGGAGGGGTGTCACGGTATTGCGACCCTGACTTTGGCACTGCTCCTGGCAGTGGTGCTACCTTCAGAGCTGGGCTCCCGGCCGGCAGCCACGGAGCTTTCTGCTGCTGGGGGAGGTTCCTGGAGGTGGCTCTGATCTGGCCCTGGGAGCAGCCCATGCAGGGGACGAGGTCCTGTTCCTCCCCAGCCCAGCCCGAACTTGCAGCTAGTTCCTGGCACACGATAGGAGCCCCTGCCCGGGACGCTCCCAGCCCTGCCCCTCCCCCGTTCTAGGGTCCAGCCCTGCCACTAGGATAGTCCACTAGGATGCTGGCAGGGGGGTAAGCCTTGGGCAACAGGGTCTAAAGTGGCAGAGAAATAAGCCACGGGGCGTTTCTTTTCTCCGTGCATCTGAGTGAGAACTCCAAGTGCACACCTAGATTGTACGTGGCAGAAAAGGGTAAAAGGCTTAGAATAGTCAGGCAGCCCTAAGGCAGGGGCAGAAGCCAAACCCTGTTTGAGGGAAACAAAGACTATCCTAGCTCTGTATCTAGTTAATGTTCACCTGAATTTCCCCCAAATCGAGCATTTGATTCTTGACAATGTTTCATACAGAGAAAGTCCAGGCAGGGAGTGAGAGTCCTATGATGAGCACATTTCCAATGCCCACCCTGGTAGCTTACTAGCTCTCTCCATTGCTTTCTATGCCATTGTGTAATGTCCTACAAGGCTTCCTCAGGGCTTCAAGGTTTCCTTCTTGAAACTTGAAACTTGATCAGGTAACAGGCCCCTGATCTGATTACCCAAAACCCCCAACCAGAACCTACCTACCTGCCTACTTACTTATTTTTTAATGAATTAACCCTGAAATTCTTACCATGCTGTATCTTTGGTCTGGGTTTGTTGCTAGAAGGAGCTTCTCAGTAATATGAAGATGGAATAAAAACATACCAGATTGATGACAAAGTTCAAACATGTTGGCCTTGTCTTGACACAGAATGTAATATGGGGTGATTATTTCTTCCCTGCATGGGGGGCAATGTTTAAATGTTTATGGCAATGCCATAAAATTATGAAAAAAGGTACCAAGTGGTAATATTGCACAAAATTACCCCCTCCACACAAAAAATTAATAGTAAATTATAAAAATACTGTAAAGGCACATCTGTCTCCAACATGTGTCTTAACCACAAAATACAGGTTGTGTGTCAATGCTCATAAAAATTAAAAAAACTTACACATATAAAAAAATTGGGATCCCTTTAGTTTCCAGGAAACGCAAACCCATAAAAAAAGGTTAACACTTTCATAAACATGCACAAAATGTAGGTATCAACAAAATCACATTATTTAAAAAAATGCCCAACATGTAAAAATTGAGCTCCCTATGGAAGACTCCAGCAGAAACCATCCCTCTACTAATAATCAAGCCATAAAAGACCCATTCAATCCCTAACACTCTTAAGAAAGTATAACTATATTTGTAACTTGTGCAGAGGTCTATATAAAGTTTCTGTATGCTTGGGTAATTATAACTTTAATAAAACTTATAAAATAAAATAAACCTTGCATTGGTAAATGTATGTGTGGTCACTACCTTTGGTCTTTGTGTTCCTAAAAACTCTAAATCTAAAGCAAGTAGCAAAGGTAACTTTCACTGTGTTAAGCTTAAAACTGTAGCTGCCAGAGCCGAACCCACGGTGGTGTAATACCACATTGCAAAATTCACTTTAAATAAAATTAAAGGCTACCCCCTGATAGCTGCAGCCCTCAATACCAGCTCCAGCACCACCTTCAGCACCATCCCCACTGCCTGCAGACCGACTTCCATGCTACCACGTCCAGCAGCCACTGGAAAACTCTGGGGTTGGGTGGGCTCTGAGCAATGCATGGAGTGAAATGGGCAGATGTACCATGTGCATTCCACCCCCATAAAACAGCATTCAATAAGATCAACATTTTGACTAGGGGGAAGGAGAACTGGAGGTGCCCTTCTGACTTCCAGTTCCACTATTAGTGAGCCCATGGAGCTTGGACTTTAGCTATTGGTCCCCTTTTGCACAGGAAGAAAAGGAGGACTTGTGGCACCTTAGAGACTAACCAATTTACTTGAGCATAAGCTTTCGTGAGCTACGGCTCACTTCATCAGATGCTTATGCTCCAATAAATTGGTTAGTCTCTAAGGTGCCACAAGTCCTCCTTTTCTTTTTGCGAATACAGACTAACACGGCTGCTACTCTGAAACCTGTCCTTTTGCACAGGGTTGCACTTTATGTCACACTGCACACTTCTGAAGAATTATTTGTGGACAGGAAGTTGTGGTGCCTGCAATGGTCTTTGGGTTATTTCAGGATTTTGTTTTGTTAATGAATTGGCTGGCTTGGACAATACATTGGCATATGAGTGTCAGGAAATAAAGGACGCGTCAGGAAGTTGTATCCAAAGATTTTAAATAAAATATCAGATTCTTTTAAAAGCAACAGCAAATAACCAAGAGCAAATCAGCACATAGGAAACAGACACAATGCCAATGTACAGCATTACAGTCCCTCATCACATCTCCACATCACCCAGTGCTGCAAGGATGTAGGTGTGTAAGCCATCCCTTGTTTCCCTTGTTCACCTGGACCCAACCTCTGTGATGACAGCAGGAGCGATGGAAGCTCCATAAAAGTGTGGGGGGCCACCGGCACCTGAACTCTGGCCCTGCCCTCCCCCACTACCCCTTCTCCCAACGCCCTGCTCCCACATCACCCCTTCCTCCTGAGCCCCCACCCTCACACCACCTCTGCCCCGTAAGGCCCTACCCCTGCTCACTCCTCTCTGCCCCCCCATCACTTGCTCTTACGGCTTGTTAAAAGTTGGAGGGCATAGTCCCCCATTTTTAAAAGTGATGGGGCCATGGACCCCTGACTCCCCATTCCAGCACCCCTGGATGACAGGTGCACATTCTGGATGTCTGTATGGGACTGCAAACCAGCAGTGTCTTTCTCCTCGCAGATGCTAGGCAGAGCACAGCAGACCACAGCCATATGGATGGCACTGGCTATGTTGGTGTCCAAATGGTCTGTAGGTGGCACCATATTGCCTTCAGCCTGCCAAATGTGCACTCCATGTCCCTAGAAATCCTAGTGCCAGACACGAAACTACAGCATTCATGTCAACACACGTGTATGGGGTACGGATCATGTGCAGCTCGGCAGTGTGGACTTTTACAAGTGGACTTGACTAATGTGTGCACATGCCTGCAAGGCAGGATGGAGCACACGCTGCAGTGTAGACACACCCTTAGCTACTAACCTGACCAGTGGCTAGAGTTCTCTTGGATTGCAGAGGCTAGTGACAGACAGGCTGCACAATCTTAGGACCAAGGAAATTGGCTTGTCTTCCTCCATCTCTGCTCTCAATGGCTCTTAAATCCAGGGACACCACCCCTCTCCCAGGTTTATAGAAACTGTGCATTACAGGCTCTGCAGAAACATTGGAGACCTCCAGCATCTTAGGATGAGGATGTGTGAGGCTAGACTGGCTGATGACAAGTGTCCCAGAGGGGTATTTCTTCCTGTGTCTCAGGGACACAGTCTGAGCTGTGATTGCAAATCCCAGACCCAGAGCCAAGGGTGGATTTTCTCCCCAGCAAAGGAAGCCGGTGGGAAAGTGAATATCAGTACCCCTTTATCAGCATCAAAAAATGCCACCTTCCCCACTTCATAGTCCAGAGAAACCCGGATCCTCTTGGGCACCTGCTTCAGGGCCAATGGGGAGCGAGGAGAAGTGACAGCGAGGTACTGATTCCCCCAATGGCCCACAGCCCAGATCCCCTCCTCAGTGCTAAATATGATCTCTCCTTTCCTCCTCACAGACTCTCTAGCGATCCCCACAGCCCAGTATCCCCCATGTCCCACCTCCACCTCCCAGTAATGTCTCCCTGAGTTGAACCCCTCGTAGCCCAGCACACAACGTTCATATTCAAATCTCTTAGGATTGTCGAGGCAATCCAGCCGTGTGAATAGCCGTTTAACACTTTTGCAATCCACAGACAGGAGAAGATGGGGATGAACTGTGTCTGGATCCAGAGTCACATTCTCTGGGAAAGAAAAAATCACAGCATTAAGGGCAGAGCTCAGCCCTGCGGGAGAGTTTGATCATGTCAGTGACAGAATCTGCCCCAGATGGAGTGTGACTTAGGGAATCACCTTCCTCCAGAATTTACCAGGTTGGAATGGGGAGCAGCTCTGAGATCTCAGCACAGTGCAGGGGAGAGTCACTCCCCTGACAGAGATGTGTCAGTAACAGAGTGAAGGGATCAGCTGGGCCAGGCCTCAGAATCAGGGTCTATCCCCTCCTGGCCCCACCTCTCCCCATGGAGGGGACTAGTATCCCTGGGGGGACACAGGAATCCTGGTATCCCCAGGGGGACACAGCAGATTATATGAAGTCAAGAATATTGACACAGCTCCCCCCCCCCCGAAGTGCTTTATTTCCAGCATGAGTCCTTTTGTTTCCCAGCTGCTTCTTCCTTTCAATGTGATATGGGCCTCCTCACTCTCCTCCCCTCTCCAAATGCTGGATCTCTGACGTGCTCCTTCCTCAGACAGCAACAGGCCACATGGGGCAAGGACTTGACATGCCTCAGATTTCACTGCTCAGCAGCAGGTCCCATTTCTCCCAAGGGCGGCTGCTCTGGGGAACTGCACTCACCCTCCTGTTAATTGCTATCATCTTCAAAACTGCTCATCATCCCACCCTTCCCTTCCCTTCCCTTCCCTTCCCTTCCCTTCCCTTCCTCTCCTTCCCACCACCACCTTCACTCCCCCACCCATCTCTCCTCCACTGCTCGCTCTGGCTCATGTGCAGGAAGCAGGATCTTCCTCCCCTACATTTTATTTCCTCACTTACCCCAGCCCCTCTAGCTGTAATTCTAGTCAACACTTTTCCCATCTCCATCATCATGGTATCTAGACACCAGACACAGAATTCAGTTGCTCCTTGTCTGCAGAGCATAGCTCTGTCCCTCTCCCAGGCAGTGAGGGCTGAAGAAGAGTGAGGAGGAGACATGAGCAGGAGCAGGAAGGCAATTGATGGGAAGACAGGGCAGGCCTTGGCCCTGGGGTAGCAGCTGGGCAGGGTCATGTTCCATTGTACAATGACTGGGAGGTGCTCTCAGAAAGCCCTTCAGGGGGCAGGGCACATGCAGACAGAGGAGTGGGAGGAGCTGTGTACGATCTGGATGCATTGTGCTGTGGCAGGACATAGGCATAAAACCTGCCTCATATCCTGATGCGCACCAACATACAGGATGCTTGTGAGGTCTGCCCTGAACTACTCACTGCTGTAATCAAGGAGAAGGTGCAACATTTTCTTATGAAAGGTGATGGACATTGATACAGTATGATCTTCAATTACCTTTTTCCAGAGGGGCAGCAAGCTTTCTCCAGCCTGAAACCAACCACATAATCAGAGATGAGAATTCCCCAGAACAAATTCTCTAGGATTCAATAGGGTACAGAATGATACACTGAGGGAAAAATAGATTTATAATGTCTATCAGATGTTTATAATAAAATAAAGAATCAGAAACACACCTAGATTGTGTAAGTGCTTCTCTCACAGAGGCTACACCTTTAACACACTCTTTTATATTATGTCAGGTCCCATTAACTATGCAACTGTCAAAAAACTTACGATCAGATTTTTCAACGGACACATTCGAATTAGGATGCAAAATACCTGATCAGAAAAGCCTGAACCTGGTCCCACCGAGGTCAGTGAAAAATCTCCCATCTATTTTAGAGGGAGCAGAATAGAACATATATGTGCAGCAATCGTGAAAAGATGGCTGCACGTGCTTAACTTTACAGATTGGAGTCACTCCACTGAGTCCCATGAGTTCTACTCAGACACAGCAAGTCAAATCTGAAAGCTAATCCTAATTTTTGAATTAAAAGTGTTTTTCTTGACAAATTGCCTTTTTCAGAAACAAACATTTTTCTTCAAAACATTGCCAATTTAATTTCAATTTTACGACAAAGATCCACTTTCCACTTCTTTTCTGCGCTATTTCTCAGTATTGTCAAGATCAAAGTTAAATCTGACAGCTCCTTTCTTTTCAAATCCCTTATCTTATTTTGTTTATTCTGTGTGACATTGATCAGCCTTACCTCTATTCCACATTTTTTAAAATTGAAATTGAAAAAAGAAAAACAACCTCCCCCAAGAAATAAATAATCAGAAAAACAACCCTCAACCCTCCCCCCCAAAAATCAATCAACCTAACAAAAAACTAAATAAACGTCAACACCACAATGACAACAAAACTCTCTGATCAGTATACAAGTGTGTGCAAAAAATAGAAAGAAGCAAAAGAAGACTTACCAAGCTCTGCAGTAAGTTTCCCTAAAAATGTAGAGAAATAAATATTCATTATTATATCCAGTTTTATCATCCAGAGCTTCTATCCCCCTGGATACACAGTTGAAAGGCTGTATTCTCTATGTATGAAATTCACACTATCGGTAAAGAGGGCAGTGTCTGAGTTATGGGAGTGTCGGGCAGAGAGATGTTACAATTGACAATACTTAGCTGTGATGATTCAAAAAGGGCTTGGTTTGAAACCTGAAAGTTGCTAGGAACTTTTTCCTCCCTGGAACAGATGCATTTATTTACTTCCCTAGCATGGGGTGTTTCTGTAGGGCCCAGCACTATAGAGCTCAGGTGCACTGCACTTTGTTAGCAAAAAGAGATTTCAGTAAAGATACCACAGGCAGGACACAGAGCGCCTCTGAAGCCTGGCAATGGCCAGTGTGCTCACTTTGATCTGGGCTGCAGCTCCTGCACATCCCCTATCTGGAATCTACAAAATCCTGGCCTGGCGGCTTCACTCCCATTTCTCTGCTGCCCAGATACTTGTCATGTGACAATGGTAAAGCTCAACAGAGTCATTTTCTATATCACTGACCAGATCATGTTGTTATAATAAGGAAACAGAGCTGTCCCTAAAACTCCTCAGTCTCTATCTCCATTTCTCCCTGTACTTCACTGTCCAGCCCCAGCTTCTGGCTTCCTGCACAGATTTATAGTACATATAGCCACACACACACACCTCTTTCTCAGCAGTTGTTGACGTTATTTTGGCAGGTGTTAATGGGATTTTGATCCAAAGAGGATCACAGACTTTGTTAAAGCCAAGCATCTGCCTTCCGGTTCAGTAGAAAGAATCATTATGGCCTTTTGTGTTGTGATCCAGCTAGAAATAATGAAAACTACTGCCCAGTGCACTGGGCACAAAGCCAACCCAGGTAGATTAACAGGGCTATCACTGATAGTGAACTCAGGGGCTAAAAGACCGTGTGTGTGTGTATGTGTGTGTATGTGCGTGTGTGTTTGTTAGAGGTAGAAAACCAAAAGAAACCTGGCAAAGGAGTTATGGGTGTGAACGGAAGCAGATAGGGCTCCTTGGGCACAGAACTCACTACAGTGGAAGATTGGGGATTTTCTGAGCAAGGAAACTGTCTGCTGTTGTTGGTTTCTACTGTGTTCTAGGATAAAAGACTTTCCTCTACATATTTTGTAAATAACAAGATGACACCAAGAATAGACCTAACTTGTATCTATCAGAAACAACTCTGCACAAAGGGGAAAAACTGATACCAAGCTGGCATGAAGCCCTTCCCCGCTGTGCAGGAGGGCACAGAGTCCCCCTTGTCTCCCACTTAATGTCACCTCCCGCAGGAGGGGAATTTCACCCTCAGTGAAGATACATCTTAAATCATGTTCTCTATGTTCTCATCTCCTACCTACTGAATTATCATCAATACATTATTGTGATATTTCATGTGAGTTTCAAGTTGGTGTTCCTTTATTACCAATAATCACAACAACAAAAATTAACAGCAAACAACTTCATAGAACAGTTTCTATTAGGAGAAAACATTTGAAAAGCAAGTTGTTTAAGAATATTTACAGTTAATGTAGATTGAAAGAAATGTTTTCATTATATGAATCCTTAGCACCTCGATAAACATTAAATTTATGTTTTACTAATCATGTGACTACATTGGAGTTCAATATAAAAGAGTGAGTATTTCCAAGTTGTGAAAGTTCTGAATTCCCAGCAGAATTAGAGCCCAGTCCTGCTTCCTGGCATATCCTACATATCCAGCAACTTTGTTGGGAGCTTTAGGGGTGCAAGGAGTGTAATTTCAGGCCCTAATATTATCAACTGTATTGTTCTAGGACTTGTGCATTTAGTGCTTGATCCTTCACTCCCTGAAGTCAATGACAAAGCTCTTATTGATGATAGTGGTGTTTCTGGTTCTAAAATCTCTCCCATAATAAATAATAATAATAATGAGGAGACAAATTTGTGGAAAATTTTACTTGTTGGAGGAAAGATAATGACACCAATGTCGGTATCACATTTCCCAAACAAATAAATAAATAAATAAATAAATAAACAGCGATAAATAAAAATTATTACTAGAAAATATGAATGGCCATACTGGGTCAGACCAAAGGTCCATCTAGCCCAGTATCCTGTCTTCCGACAGTGGCCAATGCCAGGTGCCCCCAGAGGGAATGAACAAAACAGGTAATCATCAAGTGATCATCCCATAGCCCATTCCCATCTTCTGGCAAACAGAGGCTAGGGACACCATCCCTGCCCATCCTGGCTAATAGCCATTGATGGACCTATCATCCATGAACTTATCTAGTTCTTTTTTGAACCTTGTTATAGGCTTGCCCTTCACAACATCCTCTGGCAAAGAATTCCACAGGTTGACTCTGCGTTGTGTGAAGAAACTTCCTTTTGTTTCTTTTAAACTTGCTGCCTATTAATTTCATTTTATGACCCCCTAGTTCTTGTGTTATGAGAAGGAGTAAATAACACTTCCTTATTTATTTTCTCCACACCAGTGATGATTTTATAGACCTCAATCATACCTCCCCTTAGTTGTTTCTTTTCCAAGCTGAAAAGTCCCAGTTTTATTAATGTCTCCTCATACGGAAGCTGTTCCATATCCCTAATAAATTTTGTTGCCCTTTTCTGAACCTTTTCCAATCCCAACATATATTTTTTGAGATGGGGTGACTACATCTGCATGCAGTAGTCAAGATGTGGGTGTACCATGGATTTACACAGAGGTATCTATCCCTTTCTTAATGATTCACAACATTCTGTTTGCTTTTTTGACTGTTGCTTCACATTAAGTGGATGTTTTCAGAAAACTATCCATAATGACTCCAAGCCCTGGTCTACACTAGGACTTTAGGTCGAATTTAGCAGCATTAAATCGATGTAAACCTGCACCCGTCCACACGATGAAGCCCTTTTTTTCGACTTAAAGGGCTCTTAAAATTGATTTCCTTACTCCAGCCCTAACAAGTGGATTAGCGCTTAAATCGGCCTTTCCAGGTCGAATTTGGGGTACTGTGGACACAATTCAATGGTATTGGACACCGTGAGCTATCCCAGAGTGCTCCATTGTGACCGCACTGGACAGCACTCTCAACTCAGATGCACTGGCCAGGTAGACAGGAAAAGAACCGCGAACTTTTGAATCTCATTTCCTGTTTGGCCAGCGTGGCAAGCTGCAGGTGACCATGCAGAGCTCATCAGCACAGGTGACCATGATGGAGTCCCAGAATCGCAAAGAGCTCCATCATGGACTGAACGGGAGGTACGGGATCTGATCGCTGTATGGGGAGAGGAATCCGTGCTATCAGAACTCCGTTCCAGTTTTCGAAATGCCAAAACCTTTGTCAAAATCTCCCAGGGCATGAAGGACAGAGGCCTTAACAGGGATCCGAAGCAGTGCCATGTGAAACTTAAGGAGCTGAGGCAAGCCTACCAGAAAACCAGAGAGGCGAATGGCCGCTCCGGATCAGAGCCCCAAACATGCCGCTTCTATGATGAGCTGCATGCCATTTTAGGGGGTTCAGCCACCACTACCCCAGCCGTGTTGTTTGACTCCTTCAATGGAGATGGAGGCAATACGGAAGCAGGTTTTGCGGACGAAGAAGATGATGATGAGGAGGAGGTTGTAGATAGCTCACAGCAAGCAAGCGGAGAAACCGGTTTTCCCGACAGCCAGGAACGGTTTCTCACCCTGGACCTGGAGCCAGTACCCCCCGGACCCACCCAAGGCTGCCTCCTGGACCCGGGAGGAGGAGAAGGGACCTCCAGTGAGTGTACCTTTTAAAATACTATACATGGTTTAAAAGCAAGCATGTGAAAGGATTAATTTGCCCAGGCATTCGCGGCTTCAAACAACATCGGTTCTTTATGTCTCTGTGTTATCCTCAGGAGAGTGATATCATTCATGGTCACCTGGTTGAAATAGGGTGCTTTTCTTCAGGGGACACTCGGAGGTGCCCGTTCCTGCTGGGTTGTTTGCCTGTGGCTGAACAGAAATGTTCCCCACTGTGAGCCACGGGGAGGAGGGAGGGTTGAGGGGGTAGCCACGCGGTGGGGGGAGGCAAAATGCGACCTTGTAACGAAAGCACATGTGCTATGTATGTAATGTTAACAGCAAGGTTTACCCTGAAAGACTGTAGCCACTGTTTTATAAAATGTGTCTTTTTAAATACTGCTGTCCCTTTTTTTTCTCCGCCAGCTGCATGTGTTTCAATGATCACAGGATCTTCTCCTTCCCAGAGGCTAGTGAAGATTAGAAAGAAAAAAAAACGCACTTATGATGAAATGTTCTCTGAGCTCACATTGTCCTCCCACACTGACAGAGCACAGAGGAATGTGTGGAGGCAAATAATGTCAGAGTGCAGGAAAGCACAAAATGACCGGGAGGAGAGGTGGCGGGCTGAAGAGAGTAAGCGGCGGGCTGAAGAGAGTAAGTGGCGGGCTGAAGAGAGGGCTGAAGCTGAAAGGTGGTGGCAGCATGATGAGAGGAGGCAGGATTCAATGCTGAGGCTGCTGGAGGATCAAACTAATATGCTCCAGAGTATGGTTGAGCTGCAGCAAAGGCAGCTGGAGCACAGACTGCTACTACAGCCCCTGTGTAACTAACCACCCTCCTCCCCAAGTTCCATAGCCTCCACACCCAGACGCCCAAGAACGCGGTGGGGGGGTCTCCGGCCAACCAGCCACTCCACCACAGAGGATTGCCCAAAAAACAGAAGGCTGGCATTCAATAAATTTTAAAGTTGTAAACTTTTAAAGTGCTGGGTGGCATTTTCATTCCCTCCTCCACCACCCCTCCTGGGCTACCTTGGTAGTCATCCCCCTATTTGTGTGATGAATGAATAAAGAATGCATGAATGTGAAGCAACAATGACTTTATTGACTCTGCAAGCAGTGATCGAAGGGAGGAGGGGAGGGTGGTTAGCTTACAGGGAAGTAGAGTGAACCAAGGGGCGGGGGGTTTCACTGAGGAGAAACAAACAGAACTTTCACACCGTAGCCTGGCCAGTCATGAAACTGGTTTTCAAAGCTTCTCTGATGCGCACCACGCCCTCCTGTGCTCTTCTAACCACCCTGGTGTCTGGCTGCACGTAACCAGCAGCCAGACGATTTGCCTCAACCTCCCACCCCTCCATAAATGTCTCCCTCTTACTCTCACAGATATTATGGAGTGCACAGCAAGCAGTAATAACAGTGGGAATATTGGTTTCGCTGAGGTCTAAGCGAGTCAGTAAACTGCACCAGCGCGCCTTTAAACGTCCAAATGCACATTCTACCACCATTCTGCACTTGCTCAGCCTGTAGTTGAACAGCTCTTGAATACTGTCCAGGCTGCCTGTGTACGGCTTCATGAGCCATGGCATTAAGGGGTAGGCTGGGTCCCCAAGGATACATATAGGCATTTCAACATCCCCAACAGTTATCTTCTGGTCTGGGAATAAAGTCCCTTCCTGCAGCTTTTGAAACAGACCAGAGTTCCTGAAGATGCGAGCGTCATGTACCTTTCCCGGCCATCCCACACTGATGTTGGTGAAACGTCCCTTGTGATCCACCAGAGCTTGCAGCACTATCGAAAAGTACCCCTTGCGGTTTATGTACTCGGCGGCTTGGTGCTCCGGTGCCAAGATAGGGATATGGGTTCCATCTATGGCCCACCACAGTTAGGGAATCCCATTACAGCAAAGCCATCCACTATGACCTGCACATTTCCCAGGGTCACTGCCCTTGATATCAGCAGATCTTTGATTGCGTGGGCTACTTGCATCACAGCAGCCCCCACAGTAGATTTGCCCAATCCAAATTGATTCCCAACTGACTGGTAGCTGTCTGGCGTTGCATGCTTCCATAGGGCTATCGCCACTCGCTTCTCAACTGTGAGGGCTGCTCTCATCTTGGTATTCATGTGCTTCAGGGCAGGGGAAAGCAAGTCACAAAGTTCCATGAAAGTGCCCTTACGCATGCGAAAGTTTCGCAGCCACTGGGAATCGTCCCAGACCTGCAACACGATGCGGTCCCACCAGTCTGTGCTTGTTTCCCGAGCCCAGAATCGGCGTTCCACAGCATGAACCTGCCCCATTAGCACCATGATGCATGCATTGGCAGGGCCCATGCTTTCAGAGAAATCTGTGTCCATGTCCTGATCACTCACGTGACCACGCTGACATCGCCTCCTCGCCCAGTATCGCTCTGCCAGGTTCTGGTGCTGCATATACTGCTGGATAATGCGTGTGGTGTTTAATGTGCTCCTAATTGCCAAAGTGAGCTGAGCGGCCTCCATGCTTGCCTTGGTATGGCATCCACACAGAAAAAAAGTCACGGAACAATTGTCTGCCGTTGCTCTGACGGAGGGAGGGGCGACTGATGACATGGCTTACAGGGTTGGCTTACAGGGAATTAAAATCAACAAAGGGGGTGGCTTTACATCAAGGAGTATTTCAGGCAGGACTTCACAGAGGGTTCCAATAAGAAATGGTGCACCTAAGTAATTGTTCTTATTGGAACAAGCAGGTTGGTCTGGCCTCTGATTGATACATGGCTAGATTTACCTTGCTGCACCTTCTCTGTGAGTGACTGCAGTGTGACCTAGAGGAATGAGTCCCCTAGACGGGGCGGGGGGGGAAGCGAATGAGTACAAAACAAATCTAGTCTTTTTCTTGTTTTGATCCACTCCATCTATCTTTTACATCTTTGGCTGGCAGCAGACGGTGCAGAAGGACTGCAAGCCATCCACATCTCATGGCTGCTCGGCAGGAGATGGTACAATAGGACTGCTAGCTATCCTCATCTCTTGCCTGCCCGGCAGAAGATGGTACAACAGGACTGCTAGCAATCCATATCGCCTCCTGCTCACCATAAGATGGTTCAATAGGACTGACTGCAGGACTAAAGAGAATGACCTGGTCAAGTCACTTCTAATGTAGTCCCTGCACCCATGTCTGCCCAGGTGCTCCTGGCCGACATGGCCAGGAGCACCTCGGACATGATGATGACGGCTACCAGTCCTATTGTACAGTCTGCTGCCACAAGGCAAGGGGTTGCTGCTGCTGAGTAGCAATGCAGCACCACGTCTGCCAGCACCCAGTAGACATACGGTGACGGTTACCTGAGCGGGCTCCATGCTTGCCGTGGTATGGCGTCTGCACAGGTAACTCAAGAAAAAAGGCGCAAAACGATTGTCTGCCCTTGCTTTCATGGAGGGAGGGAGGGAACGGAGGCCTGATGATATGTACCCAGAACCACCCGCGACAATGTTTTAGCCCCATCAGGCATTGGGATCTCAACCCAGAATTCCAATGGGCAGCAGAGACTGCGGGAACTGTGGGATAGCTACCCACAGTGCAACACTCCGGAAGTCGACGTTTGCCTTGGTACTGTGGAAGCACTCCACCGAGTTAATGCACTTAGAGCATTTTCTGTGGGGACACACACACTCGAATATATAAAAACGATTTCTAAAAGAACGACTTCTATAAATTCGACCTAATTTTGTAGTGTAGACATACCCTAAGCAAGTGATTTTTAAGTCAGGAGAAACTTGTGGTATGCAAGACAAATCAGACTCCTGAAAGGGGTGCAGTGGTCTGGAAAGGTTGAGAGCCACTGCCCTAACTCATCTCACAGCCTGGGACGTCTTCTCTTTTCACTTTTCTCTAATTTTATGTGTCCCGTTATACATAAATGTGAAGGCTCAGCTGGTGTAACTCAGTGAAGTTCCTTTGCAAGGACATTTCCATACAAAACCATTATTTTTTGTTACTTCTACATTTTTCATGTTACTTTTTAGTTTTTCAGATGTAGCCTTACTGCTTTTATTAGAAGAAAATCTTGCATTATATTTTTCTTTATAATGTTTACCTTTTATTTTAAATAAATAAATAGTGATACCAATGAAACATGCGAAAATCATCAGGATCACCGACAGAGCCACCATCCATGGATTCGCCTTTGGGAAAAAGGCAGCTGTAAAAGAAAACCCCAGAGGGACTCACATCACTCTGTAAGTAAGGGCAAAAATCAAAGGATTCCACATCATATAAAGCTACCTCCAGCAGGAGTAGTCTAAAACAAAGGTGGAAATACAGCCCTGTCTGCAGTGCACAGAGCACCAGAAACCTATATTACAAGGACTCCAACCAACACAGGCATCAATTCACAGATCAGCATATGAATCAGCCTGGTTTAATTCACTGCTGTTGTTGCACAAAGAGACAACCTTGTCCAATGCCTAAAGCACTGGCTTCAGACTCAGGAGACTGAATTATGTTCCCCACACTTCTGGTGCCCTGCTGTATGAGCTTTACTATGTCATTTCCCCTCTGTTGCTCTATTTCCTGTCCAGTCTTTTGCTTGTCTTGTTCATTTAGTTTAGAACTATCATAGTTTATTTGTACAGTGCTCAGCACACTGGGGCTGCAATCATGGGCAGTGCGTAATGGAGGCTTGGGAGAGGCCGGAAGCGGGAGTGCAGTGGCGGATTACCGCACAGACCCACAGGGCCTATGCCCAGGGGTCCTGGCCAATTTGGGGCCCCCGGAAAAATCCCCACTGCTACAGCCTTGGGGGTGGAGGAGCTCTTACTCCAGGGCCACAGTGGGGACACAGAGCCTTTCTGGACTCGGGATCGCAGCAGACAGGGTGGAAAGGAACAAGCGGGGTGTGGGCCTCGGGAGAAGAGGTGGAGTGGGGGTGGAATGGGGGCAGGTTCGTGGTTGGAACAGGGGCAGGCTCACAGGGGAAGGGGTGGAATGGGGTGGGGCCACGGGTAGGGCCTTGGGCGGAATGGTGGAACGGGGGATGGGCTCTGGGCTTGGCGCTCTGGCCAGGGCCAATTGCTCTGCTGCAGTCCCGGCCATGGGTGAGAGCTCAGCCCCAGCTGGGGCTATGCTCTGAGCCCCTCCTCTCCATGGTCCCAAAAGAGCTCTCAGGCAGAAGCAAAAGCAGAATCTCCCCCTGCAGTTCCCAGCTGCCTCTCCTCATAGTCACAGCTCCCAGCTTGCCGGCTCCGGCAGCTGTCACACAGGGCGACACCATGTGACCAAGCAGGGCCAGCAAATCCTGGCAAAAGTCTGGGGGAGCATGTGACCCCATGTGTCCCCCCGTGTCACCACTGCAGGGAGGAAGGTCTCGGGTTTCAGCCCCACTCCTGAAGCTCCAAGCCCCAGCAGGTGCTTCCCATGGGGCTGAAGCCCTGAGACCCCCCTCCCCACAGATTTGAAGCCCCAAACTCCTGCAGTCATGCCCCAGCTCTCAAACTTCTGAAGATTGTCATATGTGGCTTGGAGAGTCAGTAAGTTTGGCCACCTCTGCTATACAGTATAGGTGGGATCTTCAAAAGTGTCTGAATTATTTAGGAGCATGAGTCTTGTTGACTTTCAGGATACTTTTGAAAATTCCACCATTGGTTTGTTTCTTTTGTAGGGTTTTTTTTCTAAATATCATACTCTAGCCTTCATTGCTATTGATACATTTTAATGTAGTTAACCAATCTGCTGTTGTATTTTTTCTGTTGCTGATCACAGTGTGTTGCTTTGGTGGTAACTGACCTGATATATAAAATAATGTTGATTCCTTTTTTTGGTTGGTGTGGGTGCTCTTGACTACGCAAGACAAGTTCTGGTGTGAATTCTCTGTAATAACGATGGAATTTTCAATGTCAAACAGCTCATTGGCTTCTTTGGAATTTGTTTCAGAGAGCGATGGTAAATGCTGTCCACTGGCATCTCTCCACAGCACCTCAGGCTGTGGGTACCAGCCAACCGATCGACACACCACCCGGATCCCTCCATCCTGATAATCCTCAACAGAGATGTGAGGAGCAGTGCCTGAAGCTAGAGAAAATTAATAAATCAGTATTAATTTATGCACATGTTCAGCCTGGAGGATAAACATTTAAACTTTCCTTTTATTCCCTATACTCATGGACTCAGGAAACAATATGAGCAACAAATTATAATTATTTCATGGAGCGGGAAGGGAAAACTTTTTCCTTCACTAGTTTTCCATTCCAGGATCTACACATGGCAAAACATTGTATTTCATGATTTCATGAATCCGTTATCTGGTAAATGATCTTAACACTAACGGATAAAGAAAAAGATTGAGAAAAATAAAAGTTATATTTCAAATGTACCTTCAGGTGAAATATCTCTTCTTTGATCATATACAGTCTGCTTTAGCTAGCCCTATGGGTACATGTCAAAGACAGAGGAGAAAAGTCTGTCCATGTCTGGTCAAGTTTAACCCAGAGCTCAGTATGTGTGGCTGCTCCTAAGCCCCTCTTCACTGGTGAAAAGCAGTGGAGGAGGAATGGGCTTTCACAGGAGGAATTGTTCTCCCTCCTTAAAGTTTTAGCAGCCTTCACCAGAATGAAACGAGATAGCACCAGAGTGACAAGGAGCCAGCAGAACACTAGCCACTCATTTTCAGACGTGGAGTAGCTAGTGTACCCCTTATCCAATGTACTTCATGTTTGGATGAAGAATCATTCCTCGCAACGGACTTAGGGAAATTTTTCAAAACCACCCAAATGACATAGGAACTTAAATCCGATTTACAAAAGTGACACACTGGAGTTACTGCTAGGAAATAAATTGAAGGTAACAGGAAATTTTGAATAGTAAAATGCAAATAAGAATCACTGAGAACGCTCTCCAAAGGAAATACAGGCACATAGAACTATAGGATTGGAAGGGAACTCAAAAGGTCATCTAGTCCAGCGGTTCTCAGCCAGGGGTCTGTGGCCCCACAGGGGGCTATGAGCAGGTTTCAAGGGGTCCACCAAACAGGGTCAGCATTAGACTTGCTGGGGCCCAGGGCAGAAAGCCAAAGCCCCCACCCTGCTGTGCATGGCTGAAACCTGAGACCCGTCACACGAGGTTGAAGCCGAAGCCTGAGCAAGGTAGCTTCGCAGGGCCCCCTGTGGTGTGGGGCCCTGGGCAATTGACCTGCTTGCTATCCCCTAATCCTGGCCCTGGATTTTAAATGCAGAAAAACAGTGATTGTGGCACAATTGGACTGTAGAGTTTTTACAGCAAGTTGTGGGGGAGGGGGCTCAGAAAGAAAAATGTTGAGAACCCTTGATCTTGTCCACTCACCCACACTGAGACAAGATTAAGTACTCCTAGGCCATCCCAAACTCGTGTCTGTGAAACCTCCTTCTTAAAAAACCTACAATGACAAGAATTCCATGACCTGCCTAGGTTACCTGTTCCAGTGCTTAACTATCTTCATAGTTAGAAAGATTTTCCTGCTATGTAGCCTAAATCTCCTTTTTTTTCACTGCAGCATCATACTGTTGGCTCCATATTCACTTTGTGGTCCACTAAAATCTCCACATCCTTTTCTGCAGCATTGCTGCACAGACAGTTATTCCCATATTGTATTTGTGCATTTATTTTTTCCTTCCTATGTGTATTTCTCTTTGCATGTTTTTACTCAATTTCATGTTGTTGATTTCAGACCAATACTCCAGTTTATCAAGATCATTTTGAATTCTAATCCTGCCCTCCAAAGGGACTGTATCTTTCCCAGCTTGGTGACATCTGCACATTTTATAAGTGTACTCTCTACTGCATCATCTAAGTAATTAATGAAAATATTGAATAGTACCGGACCGAGGAATGACCCATGTGGGATCCCATTTGATACATCCTCCTAATTTAACAGCAAACAACTGATAACTACTCTTTGGGTTCAATTTTTTAATCAGGTTGTGCACCCACCTTCTAGCAATTTCAGCCAAACCACATTTCCCTGGTTTGCTTATGAGATTGTCATGTGGGATTGTGCCAACAGCCTTACTAAAAATTAAGATATATCACATCTATTGCTTCCCCACACGCTACTGACCTGACACCTTTAGTTCCAATAGGGCTTCTTCATAATCCATACCCTCTTGAACAAAACAGCTATACTGTCCTTCATCAGAAGGTCTGATATTGAAAATTCTCAAGGCAACATTTCCATCGGTGATACCATCTTTAAAGAGCTCTGTCCTCCGCTGATATTCTGACATCTGCTGCCCATACTGGTCCTTTCCATCACTATAGCGATGAACAAATGGAGAGAGTTGGGACCGGAACCACGTCACCTCCATGTTCTCAGCGCTCATCTTGGGGGACAGGTGACAGGGTAACACAATCTCTTCTCCCACAGTGGCAATGACAGGCTGGTCAGGTCCAACCACTTTAAAACGAGCTAAGAAATGTACCAGGATACAAGGAAGATAAACTCAGAGAAAGCATGGGAAATTCATATACATTTCTTTAACAATACACACAAACAACAAGATCTATTTCATGTATTTTATATTCCATGGAGCATGAAATTATATATGGAGTTTACAAGAAATAATGCATTTCCACAACTGTAAATTATTCGCAAAAAGAAAAGGAGTACTTGTGGCACCTTAGAGACTAACTAATTTATTTGAGCATAAGCTTTCGTGAGCTACAGCTCACTTCATCGGATGCATTCAGTGGAAGTGAGCTGTAGTTCACGAAAGCTTATACTCAAATAAATTGGTTAGTCTCTAAGGTGCCACAAGTATTCCTTTTCTTTTTGCGAATACAGACTAACACGGCTGCTACTCTGTTAAATTATTGTTATACCAGATGTAGGGTGAAACCTCATTGAATCTGGTGGGTGTAGCCACCCTTAATTCAGAATAAATGATAGAAGCAATGAAGCTCCTTTATGGAGTAAAGTAGCTGAAACTTTCAGAGCCACCACTCAAATTACATGCCATGTGCAAGTCTGGTCAAGAGCTGAGCTATGTGGGCATAGTGCAAATACAGAGGGATGGGTATTGCTTTGGTAGAGCTGTGTGCTTGTGTGTGAGAGCAGAAGCAGAGAAAAAACACTAAAGAAGCAGACAGAAAAGGCTGCAAAGAAGGGCCAGAGACAGCCAGAAAAGCACTTGAAGCATGTGAAAGCTAAGAGAGAACTTGTTGGGCAAAGTTTTGGTTGAAAGAGGCTTGGAATTGTGAGCAAAGAAATTGCCTCCTGCTGTTTGATTCCTACTGTGTTCAATGATGCGGGACTTTGTGTACATTCTATGTAAATAAAAAGGATTTCATCAAATAAATACCTGACTCCATCAGCAATTTCTCTTTCTAATGGAAAGAACCCATAAGACCCTGAATACTGGCTACCCACTCATGTCTAAAGGGTTAATATTATGTTTATGTAAGCAGGGTCTGAATGAATGCTTCCCTGACAGCTAGCTGGGAGTGGGAGAGACTCCCGGTGTGTTTATGTAAATACAATTTGTTCCTGCTCTGCTTACATATTCAACAGATGCAGAGGTGTCAAAGTGATCAACTTTAACTGGTGTTGGGTACAAATCACCTTAGTACTGAATGCAGGAGTAGTGAAATGCTGTTACCAATGTTGTAATTATTGTGGGAATACAGAGAAGCAGTACTGTGCTTAACCTGTCCCAAATAAGGGGGACCATCCTCAGTTGAAAGAACCTTGTTAAGCCAGGGGCTCAAATGTCAGCGCCCTGTGAAAGTAAGAGGGGTGGGGACAAGTATCCCAGTGAGAAGGCAGCACACCCTCACCAAGGGTCCTACCTAGACTGGTTCAACCTGTTCCTCCCCACAGGTCAAAGAATAGCATTAAATAGGCTTCATTAGAACCCTCTTTGTTAATTTAATTGTTCGATCAGAGCTGAAATCATTTGTGGTGGGACTGTGTTTCTGCCCTGCCCGCTAAGAGCTAAAATTACTAAGAAACTGATGTGCAGAGGACACAGCAGAGAGGCAGATGGCAGCAGAAGGTGACTGACAGCTGGTGAATGAGTGGCTGTTGAGGCAGAGAGGCGCAACAAGCAGCCAGCAGGGCAGTGGCAAAGAAGCGTGATGAGTGGCTAGCAGGGCGGCTGGTGGAGAAGCAAGGTGAGCGGCCAACAGGGTGGCTGGTGGAGAGGTGTGCCAACAGCGGTGACCAAGCAGCCAGCAGGCTGACAGTGGAGAGGCGCGGTGAGCAGGCATCTGGCAGGGCGGCTGGCAGAGAGGGGCAGCGAGCGAGTGCCCGAGCAGCGCTACAAGTAAGGAGCCTCTTTACCCCCTCTCCACACAAGGTGGGAGGTGAAGTCTGCAGATGCACCTCTGAACTCTGGGTCTGCACTAACCAAGGACAGCAACTGTGAGTGGGGTGCAGAGAAGGGTTGGGCATGTGAAGGGGGCTTTTGGGTTGCTGGACTTAAGAACCTGAGGGGAAAGGACACTGCCCAACCTACTTGGGGTTGGGTCGTTTACCCATGGTTTATTTTTATGGACCCTAGTTGCAGTGTTTTCCCAAATTAACAGCCAGTTGCTTCCCTCCTTTTATTAAAGTTTCTTTTCTATACTCAGACTCTATGCTTGTGAGTGGGGAAGTATTGCCTCTCAGAGACACCCAGGGGTGGTGTGTAAATTTCCTAGGATACTGGGTGGAGGATTGAGCCAGTTCTGTGTTGTATCAACAGAAAGGAACCCCTAGATATTGAACACGGCCCTGACTGCTGCTGGCTCCACCAGGCAGAAAGATTATATTTTAAAAAATACTGAAATACATTCCCAGCACTTGTCATGGGGAGCAAGTGAGAGGATCACAAAATGTCCCCAACCCCAGTTACAGTGACAGGGTGATAAGGTTCAGTCACTCTACATTGTGCTCTGAAATGTGCCACAACATAAAGAAAATTAACTCAGAGAGAAAAATTACTTTTCTTTTGCCTCCTCAGTCCTGTCAGCCTCATGCAGTAGTGTGCTATGCAAATAAAATAGGATTAGATCTGATAAACTAGGCAACAAAATTTGGAGGAAATTTTAAAGGGCTGGAAACCTGATCCCAATCCCATTGAACCAATGGAACAGTTCTCATTTACTTCAATGGGATTTGGATCAGCCCTAATGGGCTCTCCTTTTGTTGCTCAGGTTCACAGGCTGTGGAATCCTTTAATCTCCAGAGGGCTAGTTTCAATTTAAGATAGTGCAAAGTGTATCATCCTACTTGGTTAGCTGTGCTCTGCACATGGAACACTGTGTACCTGAGCTCTGTGATATGCTCTTACTTCCAGTATGTTTTGTGTGCACTTCAAAGCACTGGTTTTTGACATATGAAGCATTAAGTGGTTTGGGACCAGATTAGTGCCTCTTTCCTAATGTGATGTCCCAGAGACTGAGAGCAGATGGAGTGTCTGAGCTAACAACCCCACGGGTTCTAATGGGACATTTTCAATAAAGGGTCGTCAGCTGTGTATCTCATTTACCCTCTTGTTCAACCTACTGACTTATAGTCCCTGCTCTCTCTAGGTGATTGAGAAGGGAATGAGTGGAAGAGGACGTCAGTGCATTAAGATGAGTTAGACAGTTATTAGTCCTGAAGGTTTGGACAGGCAGTGAAGACACTTTTTAAAAAAACACTGTTGTTTCTGTTTGGAATTTGGGTTGTTTTTTGTTTAGCCTTCTGTTTACAACTAAACATCTTACTGGGCATCTTTTCAAACCCCTGCTATTTATTTACTTAGATTTTTATCCTCCTTCAATAATAGAGTGTTATCCATTGCTGACAACTTTTAAAAATACATGCATGAATAAGCAAATATAAAAACTATCCCAAGAACAATGCAACAACCCAGCAACAGGATAAGCAGAGCAAAATTGAATAAAGAAGTTGCCAATCTTGCTTTGTGGTTCTGTTTACACACTGTAAGTAGTTCCATTGTCTTCAAGTGAAGCCCATTTGTAAGTCACTGTAAGCCTAGATAAATCATATAAGAAACTACAGAAAGAGATGGGATTCCTACCTGATTCCAACCTGTGAAGAGAACAAGTAATGAAGAAAATAATCAAATCAGGCAGAGAGCATCTGGCTGTGGTGCTATGGCAGAATGAGAGAACCTGCATCCTCATGGGAACTTGGTCTAGATAACAGGATGGACATGGAGAAAAACAAACAAACATCATAGTAAACAAAACAGTGATTATGAGATGCTGGTTATTGGATTTTGAGGGACAGAAGATCACAGAGGACACAAATAAAATGGGATATACGCATTGCCAAGTAAATTTATTGTGTTATGCAGTTAGAGCAACCATTCCATTAAAGTTGAAAACATGTTTCTATTATGAGTCTGAGTTTGTCCCATTCCCACCCAATCCACACTGCTCCCCACCTCGAGGTCACTGCTTCCCCCACTCCTCTATATCCTGCTTCTCCCCTCTGGATCCTCCCTGCCCAAAGGTTCCTGCTTTTCCTCAATTCCACTTTCCCCTCTCCAGATGCCTGCTTTCCCCAACTCTGGTTCCCTGATTCCTCTCTCCCTCCATTTTCCCCTCTCCAGGGGAGAGCCCTAATCACTAGGCTATTGACTAGCCTGAGATGGAAAAAGAAAAGGAGGACTTGTGGCACCTTAGTGACTAACCAATTTATCTGTAGCCTGAGATGGAGTTTTTTCAATCTTTCCTGGTGGATCTGTTCCACTTTGAGTAAATAATGAAATATTTATTATAGCAGGAACTTGAACCTGAGTCTTCTACAGCCAAGAGGAGGGCTCTAATCACCAAGCCACCCTCTCTCCTCCACTGCAGCACTGCTGAACATATACTTGAATACCGAGTGGAACAGCTCCAACAAGAGAGCCTGAGAAACAGAGACAGAGAAATGTACAGGCAATGAGCCAGAAAAGTCACAATACATTCAACTGCAGTGAGAGTCCTGGAGCTTCTTTTATTCCTTTGATAAATTCAGAACTTCTCTTCACATCAGCAGGAGATTTGCCATGGTTAACTCCAGCTGCTAGTTACTAGTTCTGCCTCACTAGTATACCATAACAGAAATATCCAAGAAAAAAGCTCAGAGACATGGGATGCTTTCATGGAAGTATCTGAATGATCCTATTACATGCATTCCTCTTCCCCCCTTCTCCTTCCTCTCTACCCACTTCCTTCCTTCCCCATCTCTAGCCCTCTCCTCTGAACTTTGCTTCTATTCTTTACTTAACTTTAACTAGTTGATTTTCCATAAGCAGATTTTGTTTGTAAATTGTTTAATGCAAATAATTGAGGTATATTTTGACCATTCATATTATATATATATATATATATATAATTAAATGTTTCAAGTATGGCTAACATTAGGTAGCAAATGGTTAATATATTATGAGAATTTAATATAGTTTATTATGTTTGTTTTTTCTCTGTATATATATATATATTTTAAAAAATTAAAAAAACAAAACAAAGAAAATAAGACTCAACTCCAGGAGGTTTACAAGGAAAAGGTACCAGGAGGGGGATTGCCTCGGAGAGAAAATAAAATCACGCTGCTCTGTAGAACCTTGCTGATCCACGGATGCAAGGAGTCCCCAGGTCCAGCAATGCACTGGAATCATGAGGGGTTAGGGGGTAGATGTTCCCGGTACACTGGAAACATGAGGAGGGTGGGGTGAGGTAGATGTTCCCGGTGCACTGGAATCATGGGGGGCAGGGAGGGGGCTAGATGTTTCTGGTACACTGGAATCATGAGGAAGATGGGGTGGGGTAAATGCGAGCAAAGCAGCTGTGTCCATATCGTAATGCTCCAACCTGCCAGCAGCAGCAGCCAGAGCCCAGAGCTGCTTCCTGAGCCTGGATGGAGGGGCTGCCTCTGCTACTGAAATCAGGTTCAAAGAAATAAAAGTTCAAAGAAATAAAGCTAAGGGGAAGGGCGGGCATGAAATGGTTGATTTTCCCTGTGCAGTTTGTTGCTAGACTGAGAACTGAATTCCAGCATTGCAGTGACTGATCTGGTAAAGTTGTTTTAATTCATCGTGTCTGTATTTTCTGCAGGGTATTTTGCTGTAGTGAGATCAGACACATTTCAGCTTCTTCTGCTATCAAAAAGCTAAGCAGTTTGCTTTTCCTTTTAACTTTGAAAGAATCAGTGAAGGAAATAAAATGGTGCGAACCCACCCTTTGGCTGGGGCTCTTGATCTATTGAATTAAGCCTCCTTTTCCACAACATCCTTTCTGTAAACCCAGAGGCACAGTCTGACTTCTGTATTTGCAGGGTAGAGGGCTTAATAAGTACAGGTCTGACTTTGGATGCGCTCTGCAAGTCCCCCAGGAGTTCACCCGGCTGTGAACCAAGCAGCACTTGGGGATGCAGGGGGAGCAGCAGCGCAGAGCTCGGGGAGGAAGCCCCTGGACAACCGGCTCCCCTCCCCTCCTGCCAGGCACTGAGGGCACTCGGCTGCTGTGGGGACATCCCATGTGCATCTCTGTCAAGGGGAAATGACTCTGGCGGGCTCTGGAGCGCTCTGATAAAAGCTCCTGCAGCTGCCTCTTTCCTTCCCCTTTTCTCTGAAAACCATGTTTTTTCCCCAGCAAAGTGACCACCCCGGCTGCAGCCCCAGCACAGAACGGGTGCTCTGGCCAGCATGAGCCTCCTGCTGACTGCACCAAGACCGGTAGGGCCAGATTTAGGGAAAATGGCACTCTGGGTGAACTTGTATTTTGCTAATGACAGGTTTCAGAGGAACAGCCGTGTTAGTCTGTATTCGCAAAAAGAAAAGGAGTACTTGTGGCACCTTAGAGACTAACCAGTTTCCACGGTATGCATCTGATGAAGTGAGCTGTAGCTCACGAAAGCTCATGCTCAAATAAATTGGTTAGTCTCTAAGGTGCCACAAGTACTCCTTTTCTTTTTGTATTTTGCTGCCCCCCACATCACCCCTGGCCCCACAGGCTTACTGGGATCCCCCCACCACCTCTGGACCCTGCTGCTTCCCCAAGTTTGTATTGAAGAGGTGCCACAGATCAGCCCTGGCACAAATTAAGAATTGTCAGGCGGCCTGATACCAGCAGCTCCTGGCCGAGTGCCCAGCTCTGAAGGCAACGCCACCACCACCAGCAGCACAGAAGTAAGGGTGGCCTGGTATATGCTGTATTGCCACCCTTATTTCTGTGCTGCTGCTGTGGCTCCTGGTGCCTGATGCTCTGCCTGCGGCTCAAGGTCGGTTTCATGCTGTCACAAGGAGGCTGCATCTTGCCAGAGCCCAAGGCCCTCCTGCAGCTCTCTGGACACTACTGGCTCACCGGGGTGCCATTTCAGATTTTGTGGGGTGGGGGCAACTTTAACCATGGTTCCAGAGACTACTTAGGCACCTGAAGACTCTTGGGTTTTTTGCAGATAATAACTTAGGAATTAGCTGACAGGAGCACTACGTCTAATTGTTACATAAAGAAAGAAAAAATATATACAAACTCCAATTAAAGCCACATTTTAAGTTTATATGTAAATTTAGATCAGGAGATAATACAGCAAGATATTCCCAATCCCAAACCTTGAGGTATCAGTTCTGAAGCTTTAACACAGATATCAGAAACACAAGTTTGATACGTTGTACACTATCGTTAATAATAAAAATAAATAAAATCTGACTCTGTGTTCCTGCCATTATCTACTCTATTTTAGTCAATTGTTTTTCACTCCCCCAAAAAAGTATTTACTTAATTGTAACATACATGATGAAGGTTTTTTCTCTTTTATTAAGAATGGGAATTTATTTTTCTAATTATTTTGGCATTTATGTTTACCAATCACAACCATGTATGTGACTCACGAACATTTGACTCCATCATTGCTATTAGGTATCATAATTGGAACTGCATTTATTTTCATATGAATTTTAAGGTTTTTTTACAGATATAACTAAAAATACTACTTGAAAATAAGTGACTTTCATCTGCCCAGGGTCTAAAGTTATGTGTTTAGCTAATGTTTTTTAACCTGGCAGTGCTCAGGTGAGTACAAGCTAAAGTTATATTCTAAGAGGATGTTATTATTTGATTATACCATTTTAAATAATTAATGACAAAGCACAAAATAGTAATAAAAATAAGGAAAATTACTGCAGCCAGGACAGATTAGACATTTTAGAACTCACTACTCAATGAATTAAATATAAGCATAAGAGGGAAATAAAATTATGAAATGCCCGCCCCCCCACACAGCAGACAGGAGGCTCCCAGGATCAGCTTGGCCGGGGCGGTTCCAAGCAGGGAGGTGGGAGGGGACAGATGGCCGGCCGCAGATGGCCGAAGAGCAGCGGGGGAAGGAGGGACAGGACACCCCTGCTCCGGAGGCACCAGCCAGCACATCATAGAATCATAGAATATCAGGGTTGGAAGGGACCTCAGGAGGTCATCTAGTCCAAACCCCTGCCCAGAGCAGGACCAATCCCCAACTAAATCATCCCAGCAGGGCTTTGTCAAGCCTGACCTTAAAAACTTCTAAGGAAGGAGATTCCACCACTGGTAATGCATTCCAGTGTTTCACCACCCTCCTAGTGAAAAAGTTTTTCCTAATATCCAACCTAAACCTCCCCCACTGCAACTTGAGACCATTACTCCTTGTTCTGTCATCTGCTACCACTGAGAACAGTCTAGATCCATCCTCTTTGGAACCCCCTTTCAGGTAGTTGAAAGCAGCTATCAAATCCCTCCTCATTCTTCTCTTCCGTAGGCTAAACAATCCCAGTTCACAGAATCACAGAGTTGGAAGGGACCTCAGGAGGTCATCTAGTCCAACCCCCTGCTCAAAGCAGGACCAGTCCCCAGTGTTTGCCCCAGATCCCTAAATGGCCCCCTCAAGGATTGAACTCACAACCCTGGGTTTAGCAGGCCAATGCTCAAACCACTGAGTTATCCCTCCCCCCTCAGCCTCTCCTCATAAGTCATGTGTTCCAGTCCCCTAATCATTTTTGTTGCCCTCCGCTGGACTCTCTCCAATTTTTCCACATCCTTCTTGTAGCGTGGGGCCCAAAACTGGACACAGTACTCCAGATGAGGCCTCACCAATGTCAAATAGAGGGGAACAATCCCGTCCCTCGATCTGCTGGCAAATGCCCCTACTTATACATCCCAAAATGCCATTGGCCTT